AAGAAAGAAAGAAAGAAAGAAAGAAAGAAAGAAAGAAAGAAAGAAAGGAAGGAAGGAAGGATATTTGGTACATACGTTATAAATTACTTACAATTTATATGAATTCAAATTTAGCTAGATATTATTTTTACTTGAAAAATGGGGCAACTTTACAATTCCTTCCATATCCTACTGAAGGTATTTTTTTTAATTCTATATAGAAAGAGCTGTATTAATTGGAGTGTATGAATGAGGGAAATTAAGTAGGCATAAAAGGACCCCCAGCTGTCCAAAGCAGGACACAGGGCCAGGAGAGACAGCCATTCTCTTTTCCTGATGCCACAGTTTGGATGGTTTTGAGCCAGAGGAAAGGCAGATTGGAAACGTCTTTACTTCTATTGGTCTGTGTTCTCCATTTGGCATTTGTAGGTCTCAGCTGCAGTTTAAAATCTTATTCAATCCACCTTCCAATCAGATTCAAGCATTCTCTGATTATAAAAGTTCTATTTTAGATATTTTCTTCTGATGTTTAACTTTCCAAATGAGGGTGGTGAGAAGCTGACTCCAGGACCCTTATGCAGGTGTTGGCAGTGGTGGGTCTATATATTTTATAACTTCCCAAGTATTCTCAGTGTAATGAACCCTCCAACATGGAACTACACCCCCCAAATAATCAAACTGTGTTAGGCCTTTTCATTGTCAGCCACTGAGAATGCTTGGATCTGATTGGAAGGTGGATTGAATAAGATTATCTGGCATCACTGAAATCTACCTCTGCAACATCAGAGGAAGCTCTGTAGGAAGATGGTAGACTTAATGGATGAAGAGTCACTCTTCCCCATGTATTCTAAGTGGTGCTGTGGTTTTGTGTTTGAGGTTTTAAGTTTTCACAGATGCATGTTGTTGGGATTCAGGGATGCTGAGCCCAGTGTCTCTGTCCCAGTAATAAATGTGTTATTGAAGGCCTGCCCATCTCGTGCCTGCTTTACATTTACTCCAGACAACACAGGCATTGTTTGTTTGTTTTTTTCTGTTTCTTTTCAAGGATTCCACCTTTTAAACTACTCTGGGGACATGGTCAATCACACATCCTTCAGATCACTTAGAATTCCACTCGATGTAGGAGTATCTGCCACTGACTAGCAATCCTCACAGTACCAAGTCTCGGGTGTAAGAAAACATCTTCCGGATAGGTCTTGACATTCCTGGTTCAACACATTCCCAGCTACTAGCTCTTCTTAAATAAGTCATGTATTCAGTTCACTTCAAAGCCTGACAAAGGCCTTGTTTAGTGTGAATGTGCAATGGCTCATGCGGTGTTTTAGTTTTCCAGACACGAGCTCACTGGCCTGCTTGGCCTGTTTGATTTCTTCCAGCTGGTTTCTTGTCTGTCTTAATTTACCATTGTTTCTGCCTTAATGACTTCCCTGAGCCTCCTACTCATTTGTGAAGATTATCTTTTTATGGCTATGCCATTTGAGCACCAGAACACAAGTGTGGTGTTAATTATACTCGTTTTGACTTCTCAGAACAAGAATGACATCTTGTCTCAGGAGTACGGTAACTCCCCAGGAGACTGAGATGTAGGTTCTGCTTCTTGGCTGACGGGATGATACGTGGGTCACCCTGTTTACCTTCCCATCCTTTATATGGGTGCTAAGGTTCCTAACTTCCATCCCCTTGTTCAGCACAATGGCTTTAGCCATGGAGCCACCTACCTAGCACATTGGTATTCCTTCAAGAGAAAAATCCGTGGCAAACCCATCTAGTTCTGGTACTTTCTTTGTTGAACTATTACTGTTTCAATATCATTGCTTACTTATAGATCTGTTCAATTTTTTACAGTCTCTTTTTATTTAATTGTGGTCATTTATATATTGTTTATGAATGCTTTTTTTCTAATTTTTTTTAAATAAGTTTTAAAAATCTGGGGGATTATTATAATTACATGATTTTCCCCTTTCTCCCTCCAAATATTAATCCCATAAATGATAAGACCAAAACCACTGACCAAATCATCATGGCCAAGTTGACTAAAGCAAGCAATTAATTGAAACAAGCTTTTTTTTTTATATTCATGTACACAGGCTGTCTCCCTCTCAGGTAGGGTTCGAGAGGTCAGCATGGGATCTGAGGAAAGGAGGCTTTTACAGAGCTCAGAAGGAGGAAGTTTCTAAATGGGGGAAGTGGCAAAGTTATTGGAGCAGAATATAAGGATGACAAGTTAGTTCTTCCTGAAACAAAGCAAGGAGGGCATAGCAAGGTAGTCATTTGTGGTCATAGAAGCATTGAAAACAAAAGCAGGGTTGCAAGATGGTTATAAACATTAAAAACAAAGAACAAAAACAAAACCATGATTGCTATTCCTGGAGCAGACAGTACAAAAGCATTTGTAGTTAAGGTTCCAGGTGGGCATAGCCCAAATCTTGAGAAACAGATGTTTAATCATAAGCAATGATCAACAACCTCGTTTTTCTTTCCAATAAGATGGCTTTTAAGCCTAAAATGGAGTCTGGCAGGTTCTTCACAAACCCTCCCATGTACTCACAAGTCGCTCGCTTTGAAATTCATGGCTTCTTTTTCTTGAATTGTTACTGTATGCATATGTATATGTGCATTCCTAAGCATATAACTGCAACCTTCTAAATCGATTCAATGTTACTTGTGTATATGTTTTCAGGGAAGAGCATTTGAGTGAATAGCCAACTGTCCTCCCTTTCCCTGTGGTAGACTCTTTCTCCCATTTTCAGCATCACTTGGCTGCCTTAGATCTTTGTGTAAGGCTGCAGCCTCCTTGAGTTTTCCCCTTCCAAGGTACCATGTGTATTGATATCCTCCTTGTTCAGCTCATATCTAGGTAGCCATGAATTTCAATTGCTCCCTGTAATCCTCTGGGCTTCATTGGTACCAGTTGTAACTTCTTTCTCCCCTCCGATTTTATTCATTTGAGTCTTTTTCTTTCCCTTGGTTTTGATTTAGGTTGTCTAAACTTTTGTCAGTTTATCATTTCAAATGCCCACTCTTCTGTTTCATGGATTCTTTGTATTTTGCTTTCAGTCTCTATTTCATTTGTGTCTACTCTCATCTTTATTGTTTAGTTCTATTGACTTTGGGTTATATTTATTCTTAATGATGTTCTATAAGGTCTCAACAAATTAGATTATTTGAATTCTGCTGATCTTTTCACTTTTGAGATTATATTCTTCCCCACCCTCCTTCAAATTTATGGCCTCTTTGTTCCCTAATCATTAGTGCATGCATATACATATACATACACAGACATATATACATATACATTTCTAAATATGACCTGTTTAGACAATACAATGCTACCTGTATGCTCACCATTTTTCACTGAACAAACAATTGCTGTGCTCTTCCCTGGGAAAAGCCACCTCTTCCATTCCCAGCTTCCCGTAGTTACCTATAGTTGTGTTTATTTTGTTTGTTTGTTTTAGTAGAGTTGAGGCTTTTCTGTCTAGTTTGGCATGCTCATTGGTGTTACCCTTGTTCAGAGAATGTTTGGGCAATTGTGTTTGTGATGCTTTGGGGTGTAGTTTCTGATATTATTAGGAGATACAATCTCACAGCAAACTCCTTGATCCTCTGGCTGTTACCATATTTTCACCCCCTCTTCCACAATGTTCCCTGGGCCTTAGGTGCAGGAAAGTTTTATAGATATATTCACTTGGCAGTGAGCTCAGCAGTTCTGTAGTTTTTATTGGTTGTGGTTTTTCTGTAGCAGTCTTTTTAATATGTAATCACCTACAGCTCTAATCTTCTCTCTTAGGAATACCCTTGCTACCTTTAAGGGCCTGGTAGGTTGTACATTCATTTCATTGGTTTCTAGAATTCGTTTTTTTAAATCCCCATTTTCAATGACCCACTGATCACTTAAGAGCATAGTGTTCAATTTTCATGTATTATTTGTATAATTTGTTTCTCTTGCTACTGAAATGTAGTTTTATTCCATTATGATCTGATAACATGGGGAAAATGACATTTTTTTCTTTTATGTCTGTTAAGACTCGATTTATGGTGTAGACTATGATCTACTGTACCAAAAGGTCATGGCCTTCAAGTAATGTGTATTCTGTAGCTGTTGAATGTCAGTTGAGACCATTTGATGTATGGTACAGTTCTATGGCTGAGAGTGGGATAATGGGATAATGAAGTCTCCCAATATTACATGTAGACCTGTGTGTTTCTTTACGTCCAGTTGTACAAATGTTTACTGTTTTTATGTCTTCTTCACATAGTCTTAAATGTAGTAACCTTTATGTTTTCTGATTAATACTGGCTTTAAGTCTAATTTTCAGATAAATGTGTCCTCGCCTTCCTTTCTTCACTGCCACTGGACCAGCTAACAGGCCCGGCCTTGACATGCAGAACGACGCCGGCGAGTTCGTGGACCTACAAGTGCAGCGGAAATGCTCCGCGAGCAACCGCATCATTGGTGCCAAGGACCGTGCATCTATCCAGTTGAATGTGGCCAAGGTTGACAAGGTCACAGGCCGGTTAAATGGCCAGTATAAAACCTATGCTATCTGCTGGGCCATTCGCTGGATGGGCGAGTCAGATGATTCTGTTCTCTGGTTGGCTAAAGCTGATGGAATTATCTCAAAGAACTTTTGATTAGAAGAGGTTGGGAATATTTGTCATAAATAAAAGTGAGAAAGTCCTGCCCTCACTTGCTAGCTTCATCTAATTTTGTGTTCCCTTATTTTCAGTCTCTGTTTTTTTTCTAGTGAAGTATGACTCTTGCAGACATCAGAGATTTAGACCTTGCACATATTCAAGTCTTCTGTATGTTTTCACTGGACAGTTTAGACTATTTACAGATAAAGTTATTACTGAGAATACTTCCTCATTTCTGTAACTTTGTTGGTTTATTTCCAAGCTGCTTCAAATATTGTTGGCTTCTGGTTTTTTTTGTTTTTTTTTTTTTTGGGGGGGGAGCTTTTGTCGTTGTTTTGTTTTGATTTTGGTATCTCTGAGTTCATCTTCAGGGCCTGCTGGTTTACCGAGTTGACCATAGTTCTTGGTTCGGAATATGTCTGCTCAGAAGTTTATTTAATTTTGAGTTCTCCCATTTGTGACCATCTTTCTTCCTCTACGTACAGAATTTATTTGGGTATTTTCTGCAACAATGTCTTACTGAACATAGTTATTTGAGTTGATGTTTGTTGAGGAAGGTCTTTATTACCCCATCAGTTTAAAACATAACTATGTGAACTGTAGAAGTCTTGACTGGCAGTTTCTTCCAGCAATTAGATTATATAGTCCTATATTGGCTCACATTTAGGAGTTTCTGCTGAAAGGTGCAATATAATTCTGATGAGTTTGTTTTTTTAATTAATATCTTCTTCTTCTCATTTTTAATATCATTTGAGTTGTATTATTATCATTTTAACTATAATTGATATGAGGGGGGTCTTTTGGGTGATTTCTGTAGTAGATACGTTCTAAATTCCTCCCACACTTGTCTGTTTCCAACTTTTCCTATTTTGAGAAATTTTCTGCTATTATTTTATTGAATGCGTTTTCTATACCTTCACACCAGTCTTCATTTTATTTATTAACTAATTGATTGATTATTTTATATGGAATGTCTGATGGGTAGTTTTCTGTTGGGTTTATACTCTCCACAAATATTTCAAGGGGACAAAATGGACATCAGTAACAAAAACAATAATTTGACAACAAAGAAATTACTAAAATGTGGCAAAAGCAATTATAAATATTTACCTGCATTCACAGCAAAGTTACATAAAAAGAGCTAAGATACTAAGATTAAATAGGATTTTATAAACAAATGAATTATTAATATATTAAATGTTATAAGATGGAGAAATATGGAAAAGAAATACGATACACTCTGATAGGAACAAGAGAAAGCATATAGAGGAAGGAATAGGAATAGGATACAATAAGAGAGAGCACAGTAAAAATAAACACCAATAATAACAAAGCAATCATAAACACAAAGCAGGTAGAACGAACTGCAGAAAAGTCAAAGGATAGAATTATCTAATGAAGAAAAAAATAATTGTACACAGGTCAATATTTTTCCTACTCTGAGTGTGGGTTTTTACACACACACTAGCACATGGGCTGTGTTCTCCAGCTTGTTCTGTAGGTGGGATAGCACCTGTTTATTCCTCTGGGTTCCAAAACTGAGACCAGTGAGCACATTTTACTGTGTGAGTCCCCTCCAGTCTTCCCTGCTGGGGTGAAATATTTTGCAGAAGGTGCTTAGCTGCTTTGCAGACTTTGTTTTCTGATTGAGCTCACCCAATCCCTCCCATCCCCTTCAGTATCGGGCCTGACTCAATCTTTCCCTTGGTCATGTTACTGCTGGAATGTCACTTTTTCACCTATACCTATTTTGTTAGTGGATAAGAGGGATCTACATTTGTGGTTCATTTTCTCAACCAAATTTAGTTTTCCATATTCAATCTAAAACACAGGATTATTGCGTGTGGCTTCTAACACAGTAGTAAGAACAGAATCGGAACAGTAACATTTCCACTTTCGGGCCCCAACTCCTGAAACACATTGTTCACAGAAACAAAATGATTGCAAAGGACGGCCATTTCCTTTGCCATTGTTTCTTTCTTTAATGCTCCCTGGTGCCCCACAGTCTTCCAGGAAACAGCTCCCCACTCCTTCCTCTCAATGAACATCAAAAGGCTTAGAAGCTATTTGTACATCAACCATATGTTCATTATGGAAACTGGAACCAAATTTTGTTTCAAAATCCCAAGTGGGAATCTGAGGGCACGGAAGGCTGCTCCAGGATATGAAGGGGAAATGTAGGCATAGTCGTTTTCCAAAGCCAGGGAAACCCAGTGTAAACTCTCCCGTCAGACAGATTTGTCATTTTGATTTAACTCTGTGTTTTCAGAAAAGAATTATCTATCTCTATGGCTTCTTCAATGCATTCAAGTAACATCCTGGGAGTCCAATCAATGAATTCTGAGCATCTGGTAGAAAGAAGCTTTAAGGCTATTATTATTTGGAGGAGGGGTCTTATTTCATAAGGTGTTGCAAATATGCCCTAGGTAGATTATTGACTTGCTTTCTTAGAATTTTTTCCCACTTTTAGTCTCATTTCCTCATTTCTGTGTCTTGGTAACAGGAATAAATTCTCTCAATGAAAATATTGGTTCATAGCAAGGGGTATGAATCAACTTGTACCATATACATAACTATGACTATTAACTACTGTGGGGATAGATACTGACAAAATTTCACCAGTATTTACTCTATCTTATTTAAGAAACTTTTATTTTCTTTTGATAACTTTAAATAAAATGTTAATTTTCTATTTCTTTTTTTCTCTCAGTAAAAGACTATTTATTTACATGAAAGTACAGGTATGTGGAAATTCCTCCAAAACCAATTAGCAAGTAAGATATAAGTGAGGATATGTGTGACGTTTGGCATACAATAGACTTAACATTTTAAAACACATTGTCTTCATCATGCATGCCAATAAAAGCAACTTTTATTGCTTACTGCCTATATGTGCTCACCTAGGCCTAGTCCTGGAATATTCTAGCCTCTATACAATCTAATCTAGACCTCAAAGGTATTCAGCCTCTGGGACTTACTGCTGAATATGCTCACCTTTCTTAGCTCTTTCTGAACTCTGGCTGTCTGGTTCATCTCAACTGTTCTGGCTCAAACTCCTCTTCAAGCTGACTGATTCAAACTGACTACTCTCTGATTCTCACAGAATTGCTCTGCTTGGTCTCAAACTAACTCTAGTAATTCGTTCTAATCTTCTGACTCTTCCTCATCCTCTGACACATTCTGTCTTCACTTGTGTCTAGCTTGTTCTCTCTAAACCTGTCTTTAAACCTTTCCTAATAAAACTGCCTCTACTCTCTGTGTTGCTATCCTTTAGGTCACCTTTTTCCGCTGCTCTTCTCATGACAATTGGACATACTCTAGTCTGTCAAATCTATCTCTCATTCGCCACTTTGTCTGCCCCTCAAGTAGACATCACTTTCAAACATGCCTGCTTCCTTCTACAAACTAACTTTACCTTCCTTGTTTGGGATTAAAGGTGTATACCTCCATTTCCGCTGGATCGCAAAGACCTAGAAAGTCTTTGGATGTGAACAGAGTAGTCGTGTTGCTGAATTAAAACTCCTCTACACATGTCCCTTCTTCATGAAGCAACCATCCCTTTGCATTAACCTAACCCTAGCTCAGATGTAGCGCATAGACTCAGTCTCCAAGGGAGTTCCCTAGTAAGAGTAGCATGGGCTTTTTCTGGCATGAACTCAGTGACAGGCTCTCTGATCACCTCCCCCTGTGGGTTGCAGTCTTGCCAGTCCACAGAGGAAGACAATGCAGCTAGTCCTGATGAGAGCTGATAGGCTAGGGTCAAATAGAAGGGGAGGAGGACCTCTCCTATCAGTGGACTAGGGACATAGGGGCAGAAGAGGGAGGGAGGGTGGGATTGGGAAGAGACAAGGGAGGAGGAGACAGCTGGGCCTCAAATTGAATAAATTGTAATAAATGATAATAGTAAAAATTAAAAAAAACAAAAATATAATAGAGCTAAAGTAGAAAGATGAAAAACTATGAGAAACAGGCAGTAGTGATATAGACAGGACTGATAGATGTGTGGACTTATTTGACTTGCAAAAATTTTTACTCTGGAGGTTAGTGGTTACTTCATAGGTAGAGAAATTTTCTATTTTTTAATTACTGTTTAGCTTTATATTAGGCCAGGAGACAAAATATAAATGAAATATCATATGTCGAACTAAGATAAATATGCATTCTTGATTTTTTTTGTATAAGGCTCATTTAAACCATTATATAACTTTTAACATAAAAATTGATTTTATGTTAATAAAATTTTGGTTAAGAAATTTTGATCTTTTTTCTTGAGCAGTCTTTCTATGTAGCCTCAGCTAGCCTCAATCTTCTGTTTTATTCTTCTGAGAGCTAGGATTATAGGAGTATGGTACCATGCCCTGCTAAAAAATGGCAATACTTTAATAAGCAATTGTTTTCAACAATGTGTTCATTCAAAAAGTTTCATACAAAACTCTAATAAGTTCAACACAAGCTTACCAATCTCTATTTTTAAACTTACAAAAGAATATTATGTATGAAGAAACTCCAGTGAATGAAGATTAATAAGAAATATAAAAACAAGGAATAATGTTGAACAAAAGAACTAGTGAAATTTATAGCTTTCCAAATAGTTTTGTTTTTAAATGAAACCATGTAGCTTAACTCCTGAAAAAGAAGTGGTTGTTCAACAAAGGTATCTGGGAACTCAGTATCTGACCACTGCATTGAAAGCAATGTGCAACCCAAGAAAATCTGTAGGAAGTCATGGGGTTAGCCTGGTCTAGCTGCCTTGAGAAGCATGCATCATAGGTGTTTCAGGTTAGAGTCCATGGCTCAGAGGACACTGTGTGACTTTCAGTCCTTGAGAAACTGAGGCTCTATCTTAAGCAGTGAAGCATTCAGGCCACACAGTCTTTGGAAGTGAGTGAAGCACATACAGACTTGGCTGGACAATTGGTCTTTGACATTAGTCCTGTGTACCCTGTGTAGCTTGCACACATTGTTGTATCCTGACAACCACTATTGTGTTCTTCTTG